TCCTCCTTATTAGGTATCGAGATAAGAATGATTTTGAGTTGATTCTAAGTTTACACACTATATTAACAATCTTTAATGTATGTGATTATTATGATGAAATGTAAAACTGAATGTACATGGCATCAAAATAAATTGTTTTTATCTTTTATTCCCCATATCGTTCATTTGTGACATCCCTCATCACTTTTTAATAAAGACTGTAGTATCATCAATATTGTTAGAATAAATATGTTCTGTCTTTTAGGTGAGAAAATGTCAGAGGAGGAAGTTGAAACACTCTTGGCGGGACACGAAGATGCAAATGGCTGCATCAACTACGAAGGTGAGAGAGAAATAAACAACATAGGATACTTACTTGATGCGGTTGCTACAAACCTGCAAAGTGTTTAATGAAACCATCATAGCCAGCCTTGGCATTGTGATAATGACTCCTCAGTCATGCGTTATACTGTGTGCGCTGTGGGAGATGCTGATCATCATTGGAAACACCCTTTAGCGTACTAAACTGTCACTGCAGTTCTGCTTTATTTAGCCTGTGATGAGCTGGTTATCCATCCATGTTGCTGTTACTGTCTTTTGATGTGCCTTTCCACTTGTGGCTAATTGGTGCATTGGTGCATTGATATCCGCTGACAGTGTGTCAACTGTTCTTCTTCCACAGCGTTTGTCCGCCACATCATGTCAGGCTGAGGGCTGGTATTTGGTATTTGGTATTTGGTTTACCATGAGATGGCACTTCAAGGCTTTCCTGCATTTTAGTTGTTAAATAATCCAATCCCATTAGGCCCTTCTAACACTGATCGCCTGTAGTGTGCCCTTTATATTTGCAAACGGGAACAATGTCCTTTTGCAAAGTAGGTGTGGGGAAAGCCTGGCGGACCCGCTCATCTCTCTCTCTCTCTCTCTCTCTCTCTCTCTCTCTCCTCTCTCTCTCTCTCTCTCCCCCTCTCTCTCCCCCCCCCCCCCTCTGCTGTCTTGGCCCCTAGCTGCAGCATGCCCCTCTGCATGTGTCTGGGGCCCCCTCAGTTTAAGACACACAAGGAAGTGACTGGTTTTATTCAGGGGAAGCCTGGTGGCCATTGGCGAGTTATTTGACGGGTGTGAAGGTCGCAAGGCAGCGCTTCTAATCTCATTTGCTTGTCATTGCTGCTATTCAAATAGGCTTCTTCCTCTGTCGGTGTTAGAAGTGATGCTTCTTCTTAATCAGATGAAATAGACTGTGACATTATAGAGTTTGAATACAGCCACCAGCTTTGGGAGAGTAGACCAGTCCCTTTTCCTACTAACAGAGAAATGCAATACGTTGCTCTTTTGTGCTGATGGAAGCTGATTTCGTAGCTGGCCGCTCTCTGACTGGACTTAAACTCCCTTGATCTTCTCCCCCTTTCTCTGCTTCTCAGCTAGAGGAAAGCATACAGCAAGGATGGCTTCTCTAACTAGCTCCTCTTGGATCATAGACCCTGCCAAATGCTCTGGCTAAATAGGAGATAGAGATGATTAACTCACCTCTTTCTCTCAGTACACTCTATAACCCTTTCTCCTTTGGGTAGACGGAATGTGGGGGATCTGCCTCCAAATGCAGCATCTCCTACCCAGTAACGCCAGACCTGGCTGAGGAGGGGGTCTCTGCCAATATCTAGACAACGATCCTAACTCTTGTCTTTCTCTCTCCTCTCCTTTACAGAACTCGTCAGGATGGTCATGAACGGCTGAAGACGAAGAGCATCCAACGGTTTTTTTTTTATCCTGTCACATGTACCCTCGTTTTGCAGTTAGCTTCAACAGCCCCCCATCCTTTTCCATGGATTAGTTTTCCACCTTTAATTTAAGAAGTGCCTTTACATTCCCTAAAAAAGACCACAAATGGCCCTGGCTATTGCTGCCAGGTCCGTTCACATGTGTGACCAACTTGTATGCATTCATGAGTCTTAAAGCTAGCATTGTTTGCAATAACATTCCAAGATGCAGCACTAAGGATGACATGAATTGATAATGATATACTGTAAATGTTGATACTACTGTGTCAATGTTGGATAGGATATTAATATATATATAAACAGTATACATGTCGGCAACCTACTTTATCATTGGCTAAGACTTGCTTTGGCTGAGGAACCGATCCTGCAGTAAACCGGTATATTCAAAGCCATACTATCATGAGGTAGAATTAAACATTTCAAAAGTGTTCCCAAATTTTGTTGCTGCATTTAAATAAATGTTTTTTCCTGAAAACTCAACTTGGTGGTTTCAATGTAATTGTTTCGGTTTGATCTCACTGCAATGCATCGATGATTATACATTGACACAAGAGGGCAGTGTTGCTGCTTGAATCTGATGTGGTGAAAGGACTAGTTTTTAATCAGAATATTCAGTTCGAAATACAAAAGGCTTATATTGATCTGCCATCTATGCTATTTGTTAACTAAATGTAGAATTCAATGCACATCATGAGTGTATATTTTGGTGCTCAAGCCAATATAATTTATTATTGACGGAAACAATTCAAGGTTTCTCTTATTGGTTAACATTGTTTAGTGACATTGTAAACTCTCACTTTCAGCCCCAAAATGTCCATGTTCATAACTTGTGGCCAAGCTGTAATTTTTACACGGAGTGATTCGGTGACAAAGCACCAAGATGTGAGCAGTAGAACGCTGTTTGGTGGGTCCCTGGCCTTTTCTTCATTTTCCTCTCAAGCAGCCACAGCTATTTCTCCTCATTAGGCACACCAGCCATTGGAGTGTGCAGCTCCTATGTGTGGGCTAAGGTTCAGGTGGGTGTCATAGTCCACTGCTGAATAGGTTGTCCACTAATTACTCGGTGTGTATGTGTGTGGTCGATGGAAGTCAAGGCTATTGATTATTTTAATCCTCCTATTTGTGAGTCTGTGATCCTCGTGGCTCTGCATTCGACAGGGGAATCACTAATGGGCCTCAGCGCAGCCTGTCTCAGACCTCTCCCCGTCCAATTAACTTTCAACTGGAATCTGCCGGGGGCTGGGCCCGGGCGCCGCTACATCCTTCTCTCTCCGCTCGGGAGCAACAGATTCGCAAAATCCTTTAAGTCTAGAATGCCATCAACTCTTGTCTCTAATTAGACACTTTTCCTTTTTTCTAGTATTCAAGATTCATTCTCTCTTACAGATGATGTCTCTTTCTCACTGATCACAAACTATTAAAGTGGCAATGTTAAAATAAAAATCATTACATTAATAAACTGGTCCAATTATAACAAAGTGTGGAAATATTTTTCCCCGGACTATAGTTTGAAATATTGCACACAGTTGTGATTTGTAAGGAAGAAAATATACCCAGTGTGATTAATCAAACTTAGATTTAGTCGGCTAAATTATTCCCTGCCATTGATCAAATATACTATGTATTCAGGAATATAAATTCACTGTGAGATAATTCACACTGATTTTCATAAAATCCCTGTAGTATCATCAATAGATTGAGAGAAAAGCACAAATGTTACTTGTGTAAGATTTCACAAATCTCGTGATGTATTTCTTTTTTATTTGTGGGCTCTAACAAATGATCTTGGTACACTTTTTTTAAACAATGTCAAGCCTCATTTGACAACGAACCAATTGTGTTAGTTTGTACAATTGATCCTTATATTGTTACATTTGAAATGTACAAACCATCTGTATTTTGTAGACCCTGGGTGTATTATAAGCAGAGATCGATAGAGCAGTATGAATCTTTGTGTCTTGAGACATATTGGAAATCCATGTTGAAGCAGGCGGCGGATGTGGTACACCCCTGCTGCTTCGATTTTCAGCTGTAAGTCCACGCAGACATGTCGTATATCTAATTCTCACTATGTCCGAGTGGTCACTCCAAATAAAACTGAACAAGGGTCTGCATATGTGTATGACTGTCAAACGTACAAGCCTTTATTCAGCCCTGACATTGACCACGGCAAAAAAAACATGCAAGAAAACACACGAGTTGGGTATAGATATTTTAATAGCAATTGTCTACTCTGCCGATTCAACATACCAGATAGCCCATTCCAGGATAACTGTTTATACATGTGATGATACTTTGACAGGGTCTCTCAAAAATAAAGTACCAAGTAGATATGGCAGTGTTATTACAGTAACGTGCCTGTAATGTATTATACAACATTTATTGAAAGTAAAACACTGCAGCTCTTACTTTTCACAGCCTCATTATATTACAGTATTTATGTATCCATTCATACATACTGTCCCCCCCAACACACACACAATATAGAGGGTATGCACTGACATTACTTTTCCATCTGAAAACATCAGAACATTATTCAGAATAACAGGCAAAAAGGCAAAACAACATCCTGCATCATTGCTCCTGTTTTTGAGTGAAACTGCAAAACCCCAAAACAAACAAGTATCTCTTTAAGTTAAAGGCAGTTGGAGTTAATACCAATAGACATTCTGATCGTTTGTCAACAGGTTTGAACACATACACATATATCACCTTTTATTTTGAAAAACTCTAAGCAGCTTTTTTCCTAGTTTACCATAGAGTATATCCCTTTGTCTGAGGTACAAGCTGTAAAGGTCATCATCATCATGAGTGTTTATTAATACATTTTGACAAAACCATTTCACAGTAACACATAATTGAAATGAAAGATGATAAATACTTAATTCAATAGCGTTTATAACATATGATTTTACCCCAAAAAGTTCAACATACCGACGAAAAAATGCTACTTTAAATCAATGTTTTCCTGTATGGATTATAGTTCTTTCTGCATATGGTAAAAAAGATAGCTCTAAATGCTTATCAATTTAAGATGCATATTTTATGTTTTTGCCACCTTTTGCCTTACATAAACGGTGACATGTGCATACCCTCCATGTCAACAATGTACTTGGCAATTAGAAGTTTATCACACACAAATTCCATCCATAAAATGTGTTGTGTGTGTGTAATATGTTTTGTTTTATCTTGATGTGATGTACTGTGTCATTATGGAAACAGGAACTAAAGGTGAAACATATGGGTTTTATTCAGACAGCGTTATTTTAATCAGTATGTTCCCAATGCAGGGTGAATCACAACAGGGATTACATTTCAACTGGTGTTATTCACTTCAGGGAAATATTTTACAATGATGAGTTGCAAAAATATAGGCTATGCCATTTGATCAGAGGCCATTGGAATGGATAGCAGAAATCTAAAAAGTAAAGACTATGACAGATTCGTTTCAGCTTAGTCATCTTGTTGAATGGCACACTCAATACCATTATTGCAATACAAATCAATTGAACTCATGGTGTTTGATATATTCTGGTTCTCACAATAATAGGTTAGATGGAACACGCTAACGTTTTTTAGATATTTCATAGCCGCAATGTGCAATTGTTATGTATATACTATATATATATATATATACTTTACATCTTCTGACGTTTATAAAGGGGTGCCAGATAATTGCAGTTGTTCATGATGACTGGCTCAGAATCACGCAGCTGGATTCATCCCACTTATCTCAGATTTTCACTCGATCTTTGCCTCTGTTGTAATCTGTTGTAGTGTGTGTGTGTGTGTGTGTGTGTGTGTGTGTGTGTGTGTGTGTGTGTGTGTGTGTGTGTGTGTGTGTGTGTGTGTGTGTGTGTGTGTGTGTGTGTGTGTGTGTGTGTGTGTGTGTGTGTTTCTATGTGTGCATTTATTTGCATAATTACATTTAACTGGGAATGTGTGTGTGTGTATGTTGGTGTCCATTTTCTGTAAGGAATGGTTATATTCAGTCTGGATAGATGAGGAAGCCGGAGAAGGTGCTGTACTTGTTTGTGTTCCCTCCGTGGACCTTGCCTCCGTCCAGCTGCACACACACCTCATCACCCACGTCCAAATGCAGGATCACACTGTTGGAGGCGTAGTCGTAATTCTGATCAGCGTCCTGAGCGATGGCGCTGGCTCTCACCTGTCACCAACAGAGGACACACGCATTGACAATTAGAACATGGACGAAACTGAACAAACACTTGCAAATGTCACCGCCACTAACTCAACAGCTCAGGGAACTCAGCAGCATTTTAAATTAATACTATCTCATTCCTTTATCACATTTTATCATATTCTGTAGGCTGAGTGATGATCAATTATTTACAGCTTTCAAATGAGACCCTCGTCAGTATGACATCGCCTCCGCATTCATGCTGGATAAACAGATAGATGGGACTGTGACCTGTGACCCTAAAGGTGGGCTGAGAACACATCCCCTCTGCCTGTTATCGATCAGCTGTGGCTGTGGTGAAGGGCCGAGGATGGAGATACGATTGGGTTTTGGAGATAAGCAGACTCACTGGGGACAACAGGTTGTCTATGGGGAAACTACCTCAGCTGAGAAGCAGCATAACTATCCATACCAGCTATTGACCTGTTGCTTATGATCCCGGGCCAGCTCAATATGCATGATATTGAGTGGCTATGCCAAAGCCAGACAACTTCACATTTGAATGCCGTGTGTGAGCTCGGTGTTATTGACCGAGCAGCTGTGGATCTTTACTTGTTTGTTAACACATTTAATTGGGTTTACTTGTTGTAGACATTTAAATACACATGCCTAGATTGCAACATACTAAGCCTAAAGGAGATCACTGCTTTTTTATGTTTCTTAAACTGGCATCGACATTTAAATACTATGTTTATAGGTCTGCCATGAATGCTTTCGATAAAAAAACACTTTTCATATATAGATAGATAGATAAAGTATAACCATACAATAGGTTGCATTCCTAAAGGCTTCCTTATTAGGATGTATCAATATTTCTGTGTGGCAGTTCCAATCATCAGACATATGTCAGCCATCAGTGGCCTTGTGTCTGGCTCAGTGTCCATCTACGGTGGGAGCACTCAATCTGTGTCAGCAACCAGACAACCCACGCACATCTTCATGACAGCCACAGAATATGATCAGCAACTCAACTACCATCATGTCATTCCCTTCACTGGGGCCCTCTTTCTCCCCATAGAGTATGCATCAATTTGAAAACAGTCAATCACTGAGCAACAGAGCCTGAATTACAGTAACTAAAAAAATATGCTCTTTTCCCGTTCCACCTTTGCCTTCGTCTGAGCCATTTTGCTCAACATATATCACAGTAGAGTTGTATTCTTGAAGAATCTCGTTTAATTTGGCATATTACTCTCAATGAATATAAGAAAGCACTGCGTAAAGCGAGAGCAGCCTACTACTCTTCATTAATAGATGAGAATAAGAATAATGCAAGATTTCTTTTCAGCACTGTAGCCAGGCTGACAGAAAGCCATAGCTCGATTGAGCCTTCTATTCCCATAGCACTCAGTAGTAATGATTTTATGTGCTTTTTTAAAATTGTTACTATTAGAAACAAAATTAATGACCTCTTGCCTTTGACCAGTATAGTGTTATCAACAGCTCCCGGAAACGTAAGTTCTAATATTACACTAGATAGTAAACTAGAATGCTTTTCAGCCATTAACCTTGAACAATTAAATTAAATGATTATCTCTTCTAAACCATCAACGTGTATGTTAGACCCAATTCCAACTAAACTGTTGAAGGAAGTTTTTCCATTAATTAGCACTTCTTTATTGAATATTATGAATATGTCTTTATTATCAGGCTATGTTCCACAATCATTCAAAGTAGCAGTGATAAAACCGCTTCTTAAAAAGCACAACCTCGATCCAGAGGTTTTAGCCAACTATAGACCTATTTCTAATCTTCCTTTCCTCTCAAACATTCTTGAGAAAGCGGTTACAAATCAGCTGTGTGATTACTTAAAAAACAATGATTTATTTGAAGACTTGTCTCTATTCTTGTTTTGCTCGATCTCAGTGCTGCATTTGATACTATCGACCATGATATCCTATTGCAAAGATTAGAGCACTTAGTTGGCATAGAGGGAACTGCTTTAGGCTGGTTTAGGTCCTATCTATCTGAATGCTCTCAGTTTGTACGTGTCAACGATGAATCTTCCACGCAAACCAAAGTTAGCCATGGAGTGCCACAGGGCTCAGTGCTCGGACCTATTTTGTTCACATTATATATGCTTCCGTTAGGCAATATTATAAGGAATCATTCTGTAAACTTTCATTGTTATGCGGATGATACTCAACTATATTTATCAATCAAGCCTGATGAAATTAATCATCTAAATAAAATTCAAGACTTAAAAACATGGATGACCTTACATTTTTTGATGTTAAACACGACCAAAACTGAAGTTATTGTACATGGCCCGAAGAATCTACGAAACAAATTATCTAAAGATATACTAACTATGGATGGCATTAATTTGGCCTCCAGTGAGACTGTAAGGAATCTTGGTGTTATATTTGATTTATCCTTTAGCGCCCACATAAAATCAATTTCAAGGACCGCCTACTTCCATCTACGTAACATTGCAAAAATCAGGCATATTTTGCCTCAAAACGATGCAGAGAAACTAGTCCATGCATTTGTTACTTCAAGGCTGGATTATTGTAACTCCTTATTATCAGGGTGTACCAATAAGTCAGTCAAGTCGCTTCAGCTGATTCAAAATGCTGCAGCTCGTGTACTAACCAGAGTTAGGAAAAGGGACCACATTACTCCTGTTCTGGCTGCCTTACACTGGCTCCCTATAGAACACAGGATATAATTTAAAATTCTTATTCTCGCCTACAAAGCCCTTAATGGGCAGGCGCCATCTTACCTTAAAGAACTCATTATACCCTACTGTCCTACTAGGGCATTGCGTTCCAAGAATGCAGGGTTGTTGGTTGTTCCTAGAGTCTCTAAAAGTACAATGGGAGCCAGAGCCTTTTCTTATCAAGCTCTACATTTGTGGAATCAGCTTCCAGTTTGTGTTCGGGCGGCAGACACCCTATCCGTTTTTAAGAGTGCGCTTAAGACCTTCCTTTTTGATAAAGCTTATAGTTAGGGCTGATTAGATTCAGCCCCTAGTTTTGCTGATATAGGCTTAGTTTGTCGGGGGACATCTTACTTCTTCCTTCTCTCTGTCTATACCTGTGTACTCTCATGTTCCGATTAACCCAGCTTCCCCAAATGTCTTTATTTTTGGTGTCTATATACGCCGGGATCCGGAGTCATGGATGATCCTGCGCTCCTGTGTCCTGGATCGCGAGCCCTGGATCTTGAGTCGTGGCTGTGGTCCTGGATCATAGGTCTTGGATGGATATCCTCGTGGATTCATCTTCCTATTATACACACATGCATTTCCAAACATTTGGTCTACCTATGTTGCAAATGTATTATCTTTTCAATTTACACACGGCATCTATTGCACGTCTGTCCGTCCTGGGAGAGGGATCCCTCCTCTGTTGCTCTCCCTGAGGTTTCTCCCATTTTTCCCTTTAAACTGTGGGTTTTCTCCGGAAGTTTTTCCTTGTACGATATGAGGGTCTAAGGACAGAGGGTGTCGTATTGTCATACTGATATTCTGTACAAACTGTGAAGACCACTGAGACAAATGTAACATTTGTGATATTGGGCTATATAAATAAACATTGATTGATTGATTGTATTCAATTTCCTAGACACTGTCTGTAGGTCCCTATATAAAATTCCCGTCAGCGATGTTACATCCAACACACGCACCAGCCAGATTCATTAAGGGAAAAGAGTAGCAGATCTTCGGATGCTTCACCGCTCAACTACACATAAAACCAACCGTAGCTATTATTTCTCTACTACAACAGCCTTGATTCATTCGATTTGAGATTTTGTAGTTCACATGTTTTTTTTTAGGCGCCTCTGCCTCTGGCTATATTTCTCACTGCGGAGCTATTCAGCTAAGCTATTCAGCATTATTATTTTTGTTCATTATGTTGCAAAAGTTAAATAGAATTGTAAGAAACGTTGCCTTAGCAAGGTTGAAATAACTGTCAGTTACAGTAACGCCTGCTTCTCAATCTCTGAAGATATATAACAAACTGCGTTGAATGTGGAAAAGAGAGACGTGCCTGATCAGAGAACCAGAAACTGTGTAAAGAAAATAACATATTCCCAAGGGTTGTAAGTAAATAAATACATAATAATATAGTTGGCCTATAGCTCAGGATTTCATGCAGTTCTGTAAAAAAAACTAAATGAAATTGTTACGTTAAATGTTGAATTATTATTAGAGAAATTACCTATTTTTTACACTCACAGGGTAAGGCAAAAGGAATCAGGCGGATTTTCATGAGAGTAGATAGAGAGTAGCATGGACCCAGGGAGAACCCATTAAATGTTGCAGTGGATTGGCCTTGGCAGTGGTCGGCCCACTCCGAATGCCCTTCTAGTATATTTATCTGTTTATGCTTGTTTATTTTTGTTCCATCCGTGTTCTTCAGAGGAACATAACAATTCACAAGAGAAATATTCTCTTCTAGTCTGGGTAGCAGGCAACATTGATCATTTAGAAAGATGTACTTCATTATTTTTGTATTAAATCAGAGCCATGTGTTACTCAGGCAGCCCGATTATTATTTTGTAACACTACAGTGTTAACAAATATCACTATAGGCCTAAGAAAGAGTAGAGTATATAAGTATATACTCTTTCTTAGGGTCCCATAAGACCATCTCTCAAAAACTGACACCAATCCATTGTCATCTGTAAAGGTTATATTGTTGTTCTGCTTGACATGTGTAGTGACAGCCAATAACACATTTGCATCTTTGGCTGCAGCTGACATCAATGGTGTTGTTGTGACTTTCTATCGACACAAGGCATATGTCATCCTCCTGCTCATTATTTTGGCAACAGTGTATCAGAGGGAGATGTATGGAGATCTTTCCCCCCTCAGGCCTTCACAGATACTCATGATTTAATGCATTAAAGTGTGGCTGAATATTCCACAAGAAAATAATATTTGTCAGTCAGTGTAGAGATCATTTTGCCAATATATGATATATGAATTGGTACTTCAGCCGATATTCCTGTGCTTGAAGAATAATGCAAGCCATCCATTAATGCAGATGCCAGACAGAGAGGCATGAGGGAGCAGTGGTGGGATTAGGACAGGAAGCCGACAGAGGAGATGGATACGGCTGGAGGACACAGGCTGATCCGTGTGAACCAGGCAGCCGACTGCGCTGATCCTGGAGCTGTTGGAGTTGTGAGCCATGATGCAGGGGCCCCCAGGGTTTGCCCGTGGCTGTCTCTGTCTTCGCCTAGCCCTTTCATAATATGGCCTCCAGTAAACACAACTTGGAGCAGAGGGGCCACAGCTAGGAGGAAGGAGTAGGGGGTGGGGGGTGATGGTGGCGGTAAAGGGGAGCAGCTGCAGTGTCATTTTCTATGCAAGTGAAGCCGCAGCGCTGAAGATAGACAAGGATGGACAAAAAGGAGGGACAGGAGAAAGAAAAAACAAAAACAAGGGCCGCAAGGTTGAGGAAAAGAGAGGGAGTGGGCCTAGAGTAACAGACTGATCAAGCGAGGCTATTTTGTGAGAGCGGTGAGATGTGGGGGTATATGAAGTCTTGTTTTTATCTGTGGGTCTGTGCTCCACTGGTAATAAAACTGACAGGATTCATTCACTGTGATATACTGACCTCTTAGAGCGGAGACAATAGAAAAGTAGCTGTTAAACTTACCTAAGGGACTCCAGCACATGGCAGGAGGGTTGGGGAAGGGTGGTGGGGGGGACGATGTTGTGGAAATAGAATATTTATTGAATAGGTTTTCCCTCTCCTTTGGGAGCCTGGGGATTACATGGCGACAAGCGGCTGTAGCATTGAACCGTACCTTTGATTCCTATTACCTTCACTTCAGTATTACAATGTGCCTTATAATGGTCAGACCTGTGCACAGTAAGAAAGGGATTGCCTTTTTTTAATTACGTGTTTTTCTATCACCATTTTATTTTTTTGCCTTCAAAGAACAAATCCTGCTAACACTCTTTTTGTCTCTCGATGTGAGGCTAATTATGTTTCACCTGTAGCATAGGTGTGCGTGCGTGCGTGCGTGTGTGCGTGCGTGCGTGCGTGCGTGCGTGCGTGCGTGCGTGCGTGCGTGCGTGCGTGCGTGCACTGGGGAAGTTAGTACAGGTCATTACAGCAAGAGATGACATTTTAACACTACCGTGTGAAATAACTTGACCTTTACCCGAGTTATTAAAAGAGTCTATGACAGTTAAAAAACAAGGGAGTGATTAAAGGGTAGCCAGACCAGTGTATCTATGTGTCTACTGTGCACATTGTATGAAGAATATTTTAAATATATATACAGTAGTTAACTATGGAAAATAAATGAGAAGGGGAAAAGCTTTCATACCATTTAAGGAGGGAAAAGGGAGAAGGTTTGCATGATGTATTACCAGCCTTATAAAGCATGACAACATTAGCATAGACTGTCTTAATAATATTTGCCACCAAGCAAGAATATTGAGGAGCATACAGCTCATAAATCTTGTGACAGTGATTTAGGAAATCGAATGATTAAGCACATTTAAGATAGCAGAATTGCCAATGAGACGTTCATTCATAACTATATGAGCAAGGCTTAATTAATATACAATCATTAATAAGAATATAATATCAATACATAATCTTTCAGAACTGGGTTGTCACATGTATCAATGCCTTATGTTTCCTTACTGTGCACTTAACATTTAAACTGTGAATGGGGCGTGACAGTATTAGCCAAACATCCACACCAAACATTGAAATTGTACCGTAATTCAATTACCGTTGCAATAGGAACATGGAAGCAACTGCAGTGTGATCCCCTTCAATAACAAATCCCCTGACTCTGAAACCCTGTCGTGCTGCAATGATTTGTGAAAGTTAGATTGACGTGTGAGCAGGTAGGCTTTTCAGAGTACGGATTTAGTGAGTGTAATAGGTATTAGATCCAAAAGAATCCCATGGAAGCCCTGCCACAGTCGGTACATCCTCCTCACATCCTGCCATCGCATTACACCACACTCATGTCACAGGGAAGAGTCCGGCAGCCAATGCAGTGTGCAAACATTTAGACATCAACAATTCCCAGAGGAAATCTTTGGTTTCTAGTATTAATAACGTTTTTTAACACTCCCTATCCTGCATAAACACAGTTTGTAAACCAATTTCTCACTTCCTCCAGCCGTCCTTGATCACGTCAAACCAAGACGTGTAGACTGTAGAGTGGGTTTCCATTGGTCATCGAGCCTGATCTCATTCTGGCCTTCACCACCAGCCTCCCCGATGCCTCGTCTACCAGCCCACTGTCTCCACACCTCCATTAAGTCATCTATCTTCCTCTGCTCCACCCCTGATTTCCCATCAACTCACTTGTCTTTTTTGCTCCCCCCCTTACACTCACCCCAAGTAGACGTCTCAGTATGTGTATGTCACGTCGAGTCTCTTGTGTTTCATTCATTTTCGTAAATCTTTCGGACTGGTTGCTTAATAGACCTAGGTTACAAATGACCTTTTCTTATAAGATGTAAAAGTTACAACACCTAAAAAGAATCCGGGAAGTTTGTGTCTACTACAATCCTTATTTTTTGGGATTAAAACAAACCCAGTGGGCAGAGACAAAATATCCAATAAAGCTTTAGCACCTATGGCGATGATAAAACTGACCATTCTGAATTCAGGAATGAAACCAAACAGACATAGTGCCTGTTTAGTAAACCCCAGCCACTGACTGACAGGCAGAGTACCCACCTGCCCCGGGGCTTCAATAACCCGGAACATGATCAGGCATACTGCAGCATTTCATATAGACTATACACATCTTCATATACCCAGATCTCTGTTTGGGTATATCCGTGTGAGTGCTCTATTTAGAAGAACTGTTTAAGGAAGCCGCCTATCAGAAGCCAGATGGACCTGGGTGAGGCTAAGTGATTGAGGGAAAAGATAATTAATGGGGAATCAATGAACAACCAAGGAGGAGGAAAGTATAGTGGATGTTGATGGGATCTAATCTAATATTTATACATTATTTAGCAGGGTAAAATGGCTTGAATGACAATATAGGCAATAGGCGGTCTTAAACACATCTTTGTGGCATATACAACCTAACAATAATCAAGATGGAATTATTTTTACCATATAGTTTCACATCTCACAATCAAGTCTAAATCAACCTTATTTACAACTGTGGAAGTCAACTATAAAGTATACGAGCTCACTATTCTGTGTGCACAGTCCTTGGTGCACTACATGTCTAGATATCGAGGTCTGAACAGAAAGTATTTGCATTTTAAGTCCTTGATGAATGATTGAATGTAAAAAGCAACTTGAAGAATGTTTCGTGAATTTGGAGTCCTCTGACAAAATCCCTGTGATTTATCCCACCTCGCCTCTCCTCTTCCACCCATCAGCCCCTCTGTCTTTAATTAGTGTCTGGGGAATGAGGAAGTGGATGAGTGGACTGTCAATTTTGCATTCATTATTTATTTAGCTGAGGTGTAAACTGACTGGTCCACGTACTGACAGACATTTCTCATGTGCCTCCTTGCTCTTCTGTTTAGGCGATAATCAAGCTCTGTGTATGATATACTAATTAGGCTGTTCCTTTTGGCGGCAGCGGCGGATGCATTCTGCCACTTGTCATTTAGCCACAGCACATGTGAAAATGCAAATATCCGTTGCTGTGATTTTAGACCGTATAGCATGAATTCCCCTTAATTAGGAGAAGGATTGCTATTTATTTCTTTGGCTGTCATGTATCCACCTGCTAAGTGGAATGTGCTCTGAATTTGAAGAGCTCAATGTGACTGAGGTGAATGTGAGTCAATGGTAATGCAGGATTGTCAACAGTGAAAAAAAATAGGTTGCACGGTCGTGTGTGTGCATACATTCCAACGCATACATGCAAACCCTCTATTGTACACACACACACCCTAATACACAAGTCGAACGTAAGCCCACGGGGCTTGGCTCATTTTTAGCCAGTCCTAATATCAATTGAGGTTCAAACTTTCAATAAAATGTCCCCAACAACCAACTTGTCATATTCAGGCCCATTAAACACATTGAATGCTTGCCTTTTGCAAAAATGTGATCAGAATATATTGTTTTGCTTGAGTAAATGTTGACCCTTGTGATTCTCATTTCCCAGTGTGACCCACAATGAAAATCTGTTTGACACACACACACACACACATACACACACACACACACACACACCCACCCACCCACACACACACACACACACACACACACACACACACACACACACACACACACACATACATATACACAAACATTTACTAACCAGTCCGTTCTTCTTTAGGTCTGCCCACATGCTGGTCCCGTCACCACCTCTCATTAGAACATGGTAGGTGAAGAAGTAGATGCCAGGCAGAGGACAGGTGAATTTTCCGGTGCTGGGCTCATAGTAGTTACCTACATTGGTCACCACGTCATCAAACTTCAGTATTTCACTCCCCTCGTGCGGCTTGCGTAGCCCTGCGTAAAAGGCAATTTTGGGAGTGTAGAGTGAGGGAGAATAGCCACCAGGACCTGGACCTTGGGGCCCCTGTGGTCCTGGTTTGCCTGGCTCTCCAGGGGGTCCACGTGGTCCTTGAGGGCCAGGGATCCCTGGAGGCCCACGGAGCCCAGACTTTAGCTTCTTCCCAGAGTAATCCTTGGGTGGTGGAGACACGGCTGTCAGCTCCTGGCCAGGCTGAGATGTGGCATAGGGATCACATACCATCCTGCAGCTCCCAAGCATTTCATAATGGCTCCCCGCATTTCCGGAGTTCCCTCCTTTGGTAGTGTGGACCAGCAGGGGAATGGCCACCAACAGTATTAGAACCATGGCTACACCTACAGCAGCTCCAATGACGCGCTTCCTGCGGCTGAGCCGTGAAGCGGCCAGCGTCAGGAAGTCCTCTTCCCCCTTGGCTGGAATGTGGCCGGCCAGGATGAAGCCTCTCAGAAAGCCAATATGGTAGAAAAAGATGAAGAGGGATTTGGAGAGGAGTGGGAGGAAAACAGTGTTTGAGAAAGGACACAAAATGGAAGACAGCCAGTAGGGAAACTAGCGGATGAGAGGATCCTTTAGAAATTATAAAGACGTCCAATGGACCAGGAACACGGTCTTCAAAAGCCTCTTCTTAAAAAGATGAAAACTTTACACACCAGTGTTAAAGGAAATAAAAGAACATGGATGTCTTTGATTTAGGGTGACACATTACCAAAAACATAATTGATCTGATGAAATCTCGGGTCACCTTTTCTTGACTTCCCTTGTTGTCCTTCAGTTCAGTTTGTTTTCAGCATCATACAGACAACATGACTGGCACTGGAAGCGGGGCTTATTGAAAGTATGCGGGAAAAGGCCTGCTGCCAAATTCAGCTCATTGAGGAGGGAGTGGATATTGTTGGTTTGGCCGGATGAAGTAAGATTTACAGTTATTTTCTAAAAAAATCTTCTTTCATTTCACATGGACGTCTCATTTAATGCCATGACTGTGAGTGTCAAAAGTTCATCAGAGATCTTTTCCTGACACAATCATCTTATGACATCCCACTTCCTTCTTGTTTCCACTGTCCACATTAAAAAGGTGCCGTTTTCCTGAAGCCAATAACACGTTTGATAGATTCCTCCTCTGGCTATATCTGCATCTGGAAAGAGCAGAGAGCAAATATATGTATACTATATTTTATATACATAATTTAACTAAGTAAATATTAAAATGAATATCACAACGATATGTTTTAAATAAAGATGACAATAATGTTTTCCAGCAAAAAGCAAAATAATATGTATTTTCAGTTTTATTTTGTGTTAATTACAAATATTACTTGATTATCCACAACGTGAAAAATAAATTGTTCAAAGATAACTCACCATTTACTCATTATGATCCAAAAATATTAGAGTATAACACTCGCTTTGCGTCTGTTCATTCCGCGTCCCACCTGAAGGACTTTGCACCGCTGGAGTGTCGAGTGGAGCGCGCAGGAGATGCCAAGAAAGTGATGAGTGCCTCTTAATCAGAGCTTAATCCCCTCCTTTCTTTCCAGGTAGGAACAAAAAGATGGAGTTTAATTGGCGCTTACTTTAGAGGAAAAGAAGTCCAGAAAAAAAACTGGACTGAACACTTTTTGACGATATTCCAAATTAGGATCGGCAACCTGACGCTCCCATCCAGAGTGGCTGTGACTATATCGCTTATCGCCGTGTGTGTCCATGGGCAGTCCTCCTCGACACCTGTTAGATCTCTCTCTCTATCTCTCTCTTTCTCTCTCCCTCTCTCTCGTTCCCTTTCTCCCCCCACCATACGAGCATTTTTTTCTCTTTTGTGTCTAATGAAATACTGTAGTCCATACAGATATATGGATAATTAAATGTATTGGCAACCTATAGTGAAAAGTAAAACCCCTTATTTTTTCATTTCCAAATCATTATTATTACCATTAATTTGGAGCCCCAACAAACATGTATTTTATTTAAACGCATCGATGTCTTGTTAGCTTGACATTCACCTGTTGTTAGTGGCAAACTCTGAGCATGATAAAATGTTTGATAAAGTGTTGCAAACAAGGGCAGATGTTTTCATCTTCGGTGCGCCAGGGTAGGCAAGAGAGAGGACGGTGACTAAGTAAAAGATGCCTCAGCATGATGTGTGAGGAATGGAGAGGAGACACTAAATGTTCCCCAGACCATTGTCTGTGTGTGTGACTCGCATCCCACAGCTATAAACCTCATTAGTGAGACACCCTGCTCCACACATTGTGCTGCTCTTTTTCCTTTACTTAAAACCTTACACACAAAATCCTGCAATGTCCGCACTCTGAGACACACACACAAATGCATGTATCACACAGACATAGTATGCAAGTTTAGAGTATGTTGAACAACGTTTTTGCACTATTAGTAATGGAAAGCCATGTTTTGTATTCTTGTATCAATTATCTCGCTGTTGCAATGTCAGTAGGGAAATAATGCGATGGCATGGCCACTGAAATAGGCTATTTTTCTAAGATTTTAAGCTAAAATCATAATTTTCTGAGAGTTTTGTGTCACCTGTCTGACAGGCACAGTTGCAGATCTGCAAGTTTAAAGTTTGATGACCGAAGCATTGGGGGTAAAGTGGAATAGGTCTACATACAGTATTGATGACAGTCTTTTTATTAACCACCACCTCCTCAACTTCTCTTTCCTCGCATAGGATGACCACCTTCTGGCCATGTAGGGATCATTGACCTGATACCACTGGACATGAAAAGGATTATCACTGAGGTGAGGGCATGGAAGGTGGGGTAGTGATGGCCTGGGATATTTCCATTGGTAAATGTTGGTACAGCTGAGCAGCGCTGGGGGGAGTTAAATGCTGTGTCAGTCCCAGTTTGCAGGGTCAGTCAGTCTGGCCCGCTAGAACAGTACTCAGAGGCCCTGAGCAGCACGGGCAGATAATCGTTGCCAGTCAGAGGCAATATGCTCAGGATTGGATTTTTAAAGCCTGTTAAAATATTACTGAGGTGATTAATATTGAAATATGCGCATGTCTTTCAGCTGTCTGTCTCCTCTCTCTCTATTCTCTTCTTGATTTGTTCCCCTTAGTATTCATACTCACCTAAACTTTTAACATAATGCATTAAGTTGATGAGATGTGTCTTTTTTTTATTTAGTCCAATTGCTTTATCGTGTCACTTGCTCTGACTTCCCTTTGACTCACACACTCTCCACTGTCACCGAAAGAAAAAGGGCCACCGGTGAATCAGTACTGGGCTGTTTGAATAATTACTTTGTTTAATAATTAATTTCATATATTATGATACACCAAGAATAAATCTCTGTCTTTTGTGCACGTCTGCATAATTCGAGTCCTATCTTTTCTTTCTTCCGTTCTGTGTAAACAAGTAAGAGAGGAGGAAGAACTTATTTATGGACACATTACTCATGTTGTAATTCCTTTCTACTGTGGCTGGTTGTCTACATGTTTTCTTAACGACATACTAATACTTCAATCAGAATATTACCAGAAGCATTTAAGTAACACTATATGTTTTATCATTTATGAAATGCATGGCACAGAACAATCCAAATATTTCTTGCAAGCAGAGTAGTATTGTGTGGAAAATTGAAGTCAGTGATACATAAGGTATAGGTGACATATTGTGTTTTGTTTTGAGATAGTGGCACTGTCACACAATCCACACCAGCGCGGGAAGTGTGACCAACACATACTGAGCATCAGCTCTGAGGGATGATGACATATCATCCCCAAGAGGCACGTAGCTGCCGGAGGGCCGTCACCCCCAGGAGACCACTACTCACGTCTTCCACAGTTAACACTGACAGGAATCCGGCTATCAAGCTCTCATTCTTTGCCGTAAGAGATAACTCTCTTGTAAATCAATTTAGAGGTCATTAGAGATATATGAAGGTGATTTGGGGCAATTTACAAAAACAGGGAATCCACAAGTAGAGGTAAAGAAAATCCACATTGCTGCATTTGGAGAGATGTCTGTACATGAACAGAAACACGAGAAGGTAGATGTGTTGGTTTGTATTTGGCTTGACCCAAAAAAAAAAGGCCTCTCATGGGATAATAATGGAGTAAAATGGAACTTAATGGAGGTCTTCAATATGTCACATTTCAGGCATGATAATCTAAATACAATTTTTTTGTATTCAGGCCCAGTAGTCCATATGTTTATTGTTACATTGTTCTTGCACCCTGATATGAAATGTATTATTTTCTCCCTGACTTCCCTGAGCATGCGTGTTTACTGTACAGTAGATTTGTACGCAGAGTACACGGTGTGGATGTGTCTACATCCTGGTGCTGTGCTGTTTCATTAGGCTCTGATTATGGGGCCTGATGCAGACTGACAGTGTGCAGATTGAGTTGCACAGCCACTCTAATTCTCTCTATTAATAACAACCCTCCACACTGCTGTCCTGAATCACATTTATTAATCACAATTTGTTATCTGTCCGATGCTCCACCCTCTCCGTCTCTCTTTCTCCCGCCCTCCCTCTCTTTAGCCGTGTTCTCCTCCCCCTCCTCCCTCCCAGCATGGCCAGTTATCCCCTGCACTTCTCCACCCCTGCCTCCCCACCACCCCTCACCCCAGCTACGCTCGCCTTCAGCTCAGAGACATGGTCCAGCATACAGAGGGATGTTCTCACTCTCCTCCCTCAAACACACACAGCTTCTTGCTCGCTCACTTTAAACTGCACTCTGGAAGCAGTCTGATTAATCAAAACCTCTCAAGCTTAAATTGGCCAAATAACAATTAACAACTTGGATTGTATAGACTGTTTTGGTTACAATCTACTGAAGATATATGATGATAAATAATAATGAAACAAACCTCAATTTGTAATTACAAAAATGCTTTGTTTTTTTGTTCTGGCCTTGCAGCACGAGTAAACCCAGTAAAGTGTGATGCATCATTAGAGATATTCGACCACACACTCAGATAGCATGGCATGGCCTTTTGGAAATACATTGATTATTTACTTTTTTCATTAATCCTAGCAAACTGGATTTTTGTATGTACACAGAATGCTGGCATTTAATCAATAAGTATGCTGGGATATGCACAATGTACTATTGCATTATTTGTGAAAAAATATTCCCATTAACAAAATAAGATTTCTGCCCATGTCTCAGTCAAATGGCCCTTGACCCCACTCAGAAAGATGATTTATGAGTGAGCTAGTCCCCTAGCTCCTGCTCTGCCACTCAAATGTAAAGCCACGTTTATGCTCAATTATATTGACACTTTTATGAAAAACGATGTACCATAACCTGTCATTCTCCCATGGCAGAACTTTTCCCCTAGTTTGTTTGTGATTGTTCACTGCTGAGCCGCACA